TACATACATACATACATACATACATACATACATACATACATACATACATACATACATACATACATACATACATACATACATACATACATACATACATACATACATACATACATACATACATACATACATACATACATACATACATACATACATACATACATACATACATACATACATACATACATACAAGGAAATATAATGGAGCGAGCAGAAAGACAAGGGCGGACGGACATCGTGGGGGGCATCGGACGGGACGATCCACATACATACGTACATAAAGCGCTAGGCATGAGGATAGATTGCAGGGGCGGGGTAATGATGATGATAATGACGAATGCAACTATCAAGTTAATGCATCATCATCATCATCATCGAGGGCATCTGTGATCAGCAGGAATATCCGGTGGGGTGAGTGCTGGGAGTACGGCTAGCAGCAGGCGGCCGGGGAAACGCGGCCCACATTAGGGGGTGTGCAGGTGCAGGTGCAGGTACTCCAAACACGCACACAACGGCGACCATTGAAAACTTCGGAAGTACCACAATCCTACAATTATTTTCAAACAGTGGTGCTTCGCATACATGCATATGTATGTGTATGGGGATTTTAGCGTTGACGCGTATCAGCTTCGTCCTGCTTAGCGGGCTCAAGAACGCCTCGCTCGCTGCTACTGCCTACTGTTCCCCGGGGGGCTTCGCCTTGCTTCACGAAACCGAATGGCGTCGGACGGCCAGGCGGACATACACATACGATTTGTCGTACATCCGTACATCCCGTACTCTTCACACTCACCCTAAAGTTCCGTAGGCACGGTGTTGTCGTATCCAGCACCAGCGGCGCCACAGCTAACTGAATGGCAACCGCCCTATTCACGTCGTACACCTCCAGGGCGGGACCATCGGGGTAGCGGAGCCGCAGGGGCGCCAGGCTGGCCTCCAGCGCCGCGTTGTGGGCCGCCACTGCCGCCCTCAGCGGGGCCCTTGCGGCTTCCGGCACCAACGGTGCTGCGTCAATAGGTACCAGGTTCCACGATGCGGTCACGAGCGCTGCATGAGTTGAGGTTTACGCTGGCGCTGCCGGATCCGCTGGAGCTTCCATTGGAGGTTTCCTTAGTTTCGGAAACGTTATTCTGTGCGTGGGTAGACGTGGTTGTGGGCGTGGAAATTGGCTTGGTGGTGGTGGTGGTGGTTTTGGTGGTGGCAGCTGTCGCCGCTGCAGCAGAAGCAGCAGCAGCAGGTGCAGCTGGTGACGGCGTCAGGGCTGCCATGAGCCGATCCAGAGCAGCCACCCTGCAAGAGAGGACCCTCCCAACAGTCGTCTGCAAGACCAGGGGGTCGGCGAGCTGTGAGTCGGGCAGTGAATAGAAGTCATTGGGGCCGATGAACACGACGTACAAGCGACCCGCGGGTCGGCAGACGGTGGAATTTACCGCTGCCTGCGGCGGCACTGGACGCAGCGGCGAGCAGCTGCCGTTGGCGACGGTATCTGTCGGTGGGGGAAGTCCTATGGCAGAGCTCTCGTCAGCTGTGGCGCTGGGGGCGGAGGCCAGGTAGAGGGAGATCTGTCGTGAGAGGTTGGGCACGGTAGCGGCGACTCCGGGTACATTGCAAGTTGTGGCACCACCGAAGGCGTAATCCTGGACTGTCAGAGCCCCCGAACGGCCGGTGGCTAGTGCGGCGAAGCGGGCGAGGTAGTCGGGCCAGGCGGGCCCGTCGGTCCAGCGACCCCGGAAATAAGCGTTCGGGGTGGGAGTACGGCACTGAGTCAGGTTTAAAGAGTTCCCTGCGGGCGCACGCACGCACACGCGCCTGGATGGCTATATCCAGCGTGAGAGGTGAGAGGTGAGAGGCAGGAAACGGGGGGGAGGGCGGCCTGCGGTCGATAGGCATTTAATCCCGAACTGATGACTTTGAGAGGTCATCTTCAAATTCTTGAGGTTGTCTTTAAAATGACATAAGGGGCAGGCGACACACACGTCAGCAGGGCGGCGTGGGGAGAGCTGTCAACAGTAGCTGCGAAAAGGTTATTAAGCGGAGCGCATCTTAGTGCGTCGTGATGTAGCCTGCGTGGTGAGGTAGCCATTCTCTGAAGATGTGAAAACACGCACGCGGCCGCGGTAGTAGCAGCAGCAGCAGCGACAGGCAAAAACCTTTAAAAAAATAACCCTAATTTTGTTACTTTGCTTCTGGTCTCGTATCTCGTCTCGTCTCGTCTCGTCTCGTCTCGTATGATATTATTCTCCACGTTCGTGATTTTAAATCTTTCCAGGTCCGTCCAGCTGGACGAAAACCGACACTAACAGAACCTAACCGACAAGATGAGTCAACGGATACAGCTGAAGCATGTACCATGCAATGCGTGTAATGATGTCATCAAAACGGCGGTACCCTACCTGTATCACTCAGAGAGTCACCAAAGATGATGAGCGGGGCAAACCGCGTTAATACCTGCAGCGGCGCAGCAGTTCTGCCACTGCTGCTGCTGCTGCCACTGCTGCCACTGCTGCTGTTACCGCTGGCGTTCTCAGTAGGCCAGGAGCAAACAGACTGAAAACATGAGAATGCAATAAGTGCGAAAACAAGAATGGTTTGAGACGGGCGCTGCTGGCGGCGCTCTATTGCTGTCCGCATGATGATATATTGCTTTTGGCAGTTCGTTGTTAAGCGAGCAGGCTGTTGTCCTTCAGCTGCTGCGCGTACCGCTGCGTAAATTCAGCAATGTGTCTTCTTTATAGATCACAACATGTAACTTGTCTTGTATATGGAAAGAAGCTAGAGCGACATACATACATGGGTTCACGGGCGTAGTTTATATATACATAAACACGACCGTAGCGCTAGCGCTCCAATGACGTTGTGTGATAGTCGGTCGGAAGGACCAAACATTTCAACCGATTAATATTTTCCAACACACAGTTGTCGGTTGCGCCGGTCGGCGCTATTCCCTTTTCCGGCGGCGCTTGGACTTTTCGAAGCCCAGCAGCCAAGATAGAGACCCCCCGACGGCAACGGTCAACCGTTGCGCCCGCTAGTTGGTTGACTTCCGAGAGTCTAGGCAGATCCGAAATGACAGTAACAACGCCTTTCGCGGCAATGTGGCCGCAAGCATACAAGGATTGTTCTGTTTATTGGGCTTCTAGGCCAGCAGCAGCTTCGTGTCTTGGTGAGGAACGTTGCTTGTTGTTGGAGAGTGATTAAGCTGTTCGTATACCTCTGAAACCTGTGATGAGGAGTTAAGACTGCCCGTAAGTCGCTTTATAACCTCTCTTAGGATTTTGGTGTTGTTAGCTTTATCATTAGCTTTATATAGAATCTTCTCCCCTTTCCTTTCGAGCTGTTACGAGGGCCTCTGCCGGCTAAGAACTACTTCAAAAGGTTTCCAAGCCACCCACTGTGTAGTAGCTGGCCGCTGAAAAGGCCTCTCGAGATGCTGGTGGTCGCGCTACGCGCGTATTTGTATAGCCACCCACTGCCTCCCACCGGCAGCTGTAGATCGCTGCAAGGAATATGCAGTGAAACAAGGCGCAATACAATATGCGAATATGAAGCGCCTATATTAAATGGGATCTTGCTTCTACTGGAAGAAGGCAAATAAACGCTACAGGCAACAAAAACTGTTAGGTGTGCGACTGCGCCGACATATGGCCAAGATGACGAACATCTGAAAAACCTTAAAACCGAACTTTGCCTTTTCTGTCTATCAGGCCCCAACTCTCCGCGTGCTCATTTTTTTCGAAACCCCCACCATGCAATCAAAATGGACGAGCAAAAACAATAAATTATCTTAAATGAAATACATAAAACACACATCATGATGTATCCTCGCTCTATTCGCTCCAGCTCTGGCATACGTCTGTATGTGTCGATCGTTGCTTGGACACACATGATAATAACAGCATGTACATAACGCATGCACATCTCTCGTCGCCCGCACTGCCATGTGTCCGATTTGCTGATGACGACGTGTCACCGTACACGCACTCGTTCTTGATTTCAGCAATACGCTCATGTACGTGTGTACTTGCGTAATAAGGTCGAGTACGTCATGATGCATGTCGTGCGGGAAGCTCATGTTTATGATACACCCCTACCTGCCGCCGCTCAAGCCAGCCTGACCAGCTGACATCCAGCCACTCGAACATGAGCCCACGGAGCGGCCGCACATCACACACTCATGTCTTGCTTTGGATGGTTGCCTTCTGTGGTATCGCGGATGACAGATCCCGTGATACCCAGGCTACCACACCTTCGCGTACGCACCCATCTATCTATCTATCTATCTATCTACCTATACACACGCTTACCCGGCTCCGCTCAACATCCAAGCACACAACACTATGCACGTGCCCATCCACAGGGCCCCCCTGGGGAACCATACACTCTTAAGGGGGGAGGAGCCCCATAACCTCAAAACACAACAAAGTGCGTCAAATCACAGGCACGCATGTATACATACATACTGACATACTTACACACACTCCCACACATGGGCGGCTCCGTCGTGTGTGTGTGTGTGTGTGTGTGCGTTATGGTTGTTACAGTGGGCTCCAGACTCACAAAGAATAGAGCCAGCGGGCCAGCGGGCCGTGCCTTACTGCACTAGAGTCCTACAACCCACCCCGTCGTGTTCCGCCTGCTGGCTGCTACAGCCAACCCAGATGCTTTGCGAGTGGCTGAGCGACCAGCTGGAGGTGCGCCGCAGTCGTAGGGTGCAAGCCGTCGAAGGACAACAGGTGCTCTGGGTGGCTGCACACGTCAGCACGCTCAGCGGAGGTAGCGACCTGAGCCGCCTGTGCAAATACCGACAACGTTGTGTCCTACAAACAGGGAATCGGCGATTCGAAAAACTTAATGTTAGGTGTAAACCCTGACAGAAAAAAACAAGTAGCAGAACACATTCACAAACTCAAATTTCATGAACTATGCAGAATGTTAGCACTCACCGTGGGCCTGAGCACGCACCGACCCGTGGTGTTGAACCCGTCCTTCGCCGCCGCCAGCCCGGCGGCGATCGACGCATTCACGTCGTACAGCTCCAAGCTGGGACCGCTCGGGTAGCGGCGCCGCAGCGTCTCCAGGCTTGTTTCAAGGGCCGATTTGTGCGCAGCCACCGCTGCCGCTACCGCGGGTCGTGCGGCGTCTGGCACCAACGGCGCCAGGTTCACAGGCGCTAAGCCCCACACCATAACCCGGTCACGGACATGGCAGCCGCCACCGCCAGCTCCCCCAACTGCCGGCGCTGCCAGCAGGGCACGTTTCCGCGGGCTGCGGTGAAGATTGGATGCCGCAGTTACCCGGGCATTGGTAGCTCCCTTAACATCGACCTCGCCGACATGTCTTTCGTCTCCACCCTTGCCGTTGTCGTACATGGCGGCGTTACCGGAAGTAGCAATGGCGGCGCCATCATCGCCGCCACCACCAGCACTGCCTCGTGCTAGCGGTGAGGCCGCCGCTCCAGCAGCATAAGCACCGGCACCGGCGCTTGCATTGGTGGTTGGTGGCTGGGGAGACGGCTGCTGCTTCGGTGAGAGCGCCGCCATGAGCTGCTCGAGCGCAGCTGCTGTACAAGCGGTAATATTGGCTGCGGTCCTCTCCGTGACCCGTGGGTCGGCGATATCTTTCGAATTTAGGAGGATCAGGTCGTTATGGCCAATAAACACAAAGTACAACCGACCCGCGGGTCGGCAGCTCTGGAAGCTGTCGTTGAATGCCGCTGCCGCCGGCATCGGCTGTAACGGCATGCAACTACTACTGCCGTCGTCAGTGGTGGTGTTGGCGGTGGTGGTAGCGGCGGCAGCCGGCGCGACTGTTGCCGTACCGTTATCTGCGCTTGCGCTGGGTTGTCCGTCAAGATACGACGAAATCTGCTCAGCAAGATTGGGAACAGCGCGCGCGATACCGCCTAGTCGACAGGCTGTAGAACCGCCGTACGCGTAATTGACAACGGTAACTGGGGAGGATCTATTCCGGGCAGCCGCCATGCGAGCCAGATGATCCACCCAGTTTGGTCCGTTGGAGAAGCGGCCGCGCCAGTAGACATTCGGTGAGGGCAAAGCACAGCGAGTTTCATTGAAGACATTTCCTGCTTTTGCGAAATCATCGTTAGTGACATGTATGTGTGTATAGTTGTTACAGTGGGTTCCAGACATGTGACATGTGTTTTAGACTTGTGGATTTCCTGCTACAACAGGTTTACAACAGGTAACGCACATCAGCATAGATTTTGAGATAATCATGAAATGTTGTGAAAATACTAACGCACAAGCCTACGTTTGGAATTTCGAAAGAAGTGAAGTTCGTCACTGCTGATAAAACTTCGCTTAGGGTTTAGGTCCACTGAGAATCCTCGGGCAAAACGCATCGTGAGCGGCTTGCAGTCCTTCGTCGCCTCAAGAATCGTTCTCTAGTTATAAAATGAAAGTGTCAATGTATAGGGATCGTACCTGTGTCACTGACGGAGTCACCGAAGATGATGATGGCTGGAAACGCGCCTACCGTGGCATTAATCCCGAGGGGTTTCGTAGCGCATACAGCATCGTAACTCTTCCATAACAGCAGCGAAACAACTTGTATTACATTATTAAGGCGTAGGCGCTGAAGCCGTGATGCATACATAGTGGATTCTAACCGTCGAGCGAAGCGGCTACTTATCATGCTGCAAGTTCTATCACACAACGGATACTCTACCAGTCAGTGAAATTTGTCTCTATGTGCACAATGGGCCCAAGATATGAACATCTGAAACTTTCGATCGCCCTTTGGAATCCAAGGGTGGATCCCATGCCATGGGTACATCACGCTACACCTCCAGCGTTCGTAGTGCGCCTCGGAATATAATAATAATCTCTCAGGTTGTAATAGTTGACTATGAAGTTCACTGTTATCACCGTGGGGCAGCGTCCAGAGAGCCTGAAGCAATTCCTTCCTTTTTGGACGGGGCCATCGTGTTTAGTTTAGTTTACAATACTTATAAAGTACTTTCATCTGAAATTGGAATGATGTTATGACGCCAAGTGCGAGAACTGCTTGTACATTTTAGCCGCAACCTATGCATACTGGGCCCTACTGTATAGTAATTTCCTCGAGGGAGGAGCCAATTTCAGTTTCTTTGTCGACAGTTTCTGATTACGCCGGGGTCGGGTGTTGTTCCGTCTACGCCGAACCATTTCTTATCCATCGGCCGCTAGTGCCCCTGGCCCCAGCCCGACCCTACTGTCCTCCCGAGAGCTGCAATCTCCCACATGGTCCAGTTACATCGTACGGCATCATCATGGACGGGACCGAATCGTACCGCGGGTCTCGCAGCACCTTCTCCATGGCGCGCGTCTTGTGTCTCCTTCACCCGCGTTCCTTATAAAGCTTACAACTGCAAAGGAAGCGCCGCGCGTTACGGCCACCGCAGCGCCGCCGCAGCAGCTACAGCAGCCGTACTAGCTCCATTATCTACAGCGCCGGTGGCAGCTGACCGCATACATTGTCCGCAACTCGGGCCGCGCCGGCGCATCCTCCAACTAAAATGCTTGTTGGCTACAGCCCGCCGTCAGGATTTAAGGAGCCGCCGGTGTAGCAGCGAAATCGGCAGTAGCAGCTGCTGCTACGGCAAGACTTATGCCCCGGTCACAACGTGCCCCGCCGCCGCTGGCAGTGCCGCCAGTAGCAGCAACACCTGTGATGGGGGCAGCGGTAGTAGCAGTATCAGAGGCAGCAGTCACGGCAGTAGCGGCTGTAGCACGGAGGTGGGCTCCCAGGGCCCCCTGTCGACGGACGCATCGAGCGGGTCGTCGAACGAGCCGCCACCGGCTGCACTATCGAGGTCGAATTGCAAGGCTGGAGCAACCCCGGCGGCGGCAGCAACGGCGGCGGCGGCGGCGATGGCACCACCTTCGACCTCATCCTCTTCTTCATCATCATCGTCATCTTCACCATTGTCATTACCATTATCGTCGTCTTCGAGACCCCAGGACGATGAAATCGCACTCCGCATCGCGGCGTCACGCGCCCGCCGCGGCACCCGATTGTCGTACAGATGCCCTGCCTGCTCCATCTCCGCCGCCACGCCCGCCAACATTGCCCGCCACATGGCGCTGTGTTGTCGGGATCTGATGGTCCCCAACGAGTCGGCTTGGGCACAGGTGTGCGTGCGTGTGTGTGTGTATGTATGTATGTATGTATGTGTCTGTGAAGGTTAGAAGTATCTGACTGGGCCTGACAGTGGCCAGGGACTGCTGCCCAGCCCCAACGTGTGTGTGTATGTATGTATGTTGTTACAGGGTGGTTAACTTCGCCAGCGGCCCCCTTTCCCGGGGCAGTCCCTGCTCTCCCCTGCTAGAGGGGCACCCTAATCCGTCACCCCATCCGACTTCAGAATGTATTCGTTGGGTTCGGCAACTCACCACCAGCATCCAACCAAATCTAGCGGATCAACGGCGCATCAACTTAGTTCCTGGTCAGCTCGCAAGTTGATATTATCACGTCCTACACCGTCCATATGATGGGGGGCCACCTCCCATTTCATCACTCCTCAAACACCCGAGGAGCTGGCAGGCGGATTTGAACCCGGGTCGACTGGATCGACTGGGAGCAGAAGTCAGGCCTTAACTTCTGCCAGCCGCCTGCTGTATGTATGTATGTGTGTATGTATGTTTCTATGGTTCGCGGTTCGGGGGAAAAGGCCAGGAGCTGCATCGCTTTCCCACATGCACATACACATACTACACATACTACACATACTACACATACTACACATACTACACATACTACACATACTACACATACTACACATACTACACATACTACACATACTACACATGATGCTTATAAGCATTTTTTCCAGAAGAACAGTCTCAAAACGTTAACGAGGCTGGCAACAGGAATCAACACCTTACCTTGTCCCAGTCGCTCCTTAGCAAATCCGACCACAGAATCTGACCTGCCGTACAGGATTACCTCACCCTGCACGCTTCCTACTTCCCGTACACTGCACTTGCTTCCCGTACATTGTACTGCCATGTACAGCTTGAGTCGCTAGCTCGGGGGTATCCATCCCCTCAGCACGACGCGGTGGTGGAGCTCCTCCACGCGGGGGGGCGTCAGGAGCAGGAGCTGCGGCGGCGTGTGCTAGCGTGTGTGTTTTGGTGAGGAGGGGGGAACGGGGGGGGGGAGAAACTCTGATGATGAACTCCAAACGTTTAACGCGGGCTTCTTCCGTTTTCGGACGCGAAATGTGTACGGGTGCTGTAGTATGACCCGTGGGTCGCTGTGTCGGTCTGTTTGTGTGTTTGCTGTTCTTATTGCCGTCAGGTCGGGAGCTGTGGATCCCGAGACGGGTCTGCCGCGGCGCCTGGAGGCGGCTGAGGCAGCTCGCAGACTGGGACTGCCACCCGCCAGGTTGGAGCAGGGAGGAGGGCAAAAGTAGGGAAAGACTGGTGATTAAAAAAACTAATTGTTTTTATGCGTTTTTTGTTTATGCCGTTTTGTTTATGCGTTTGTTCTTTATGTATAGCGTCCCGCGCATCTGGTCTTGTGGCTTGTGCTGGGCTGGGCTGACCTGTGCGACGCGATTGACAACACATTCATGCGCGCGCGTGTGTGTGTGTGTGTGTGCGTGTGTGTGTGTGTGTGTGTGTATTTGTCTGTGTGTGTGTGTCTGTGTGTGTGTGTATTTGTGTGTGTATGCCTGTGTAATTAAGTTACAAATTGGAGTTGAGACTATATAAAGCCCGGGTCTAAAATTCATGAGGTAACTTTCCACCCGGGTGGGGGGGGACCCACACGACCTTGCTTTAGCGGCCGCTACGTGGAAACGCTCTACACCTGCCATGTAGTCAGCACTGCAGCAACAGCGACTTTACGCCAATTGTATAAAACCCTACTCTTAAAGCCCAACTTTCCTCTCACCCTTGAATCGCCGTGAGCCGCGGTGACGTCATCACCGCTCGGGACTCACCAGGTTGGGGCTCAGTTTGGTTTGGGGAGGACGCCGACAGCTCCTTCCTTAGTTCCTTTTGCACATGATTTACACATGATTTCCCCTTTCCCCCTTTGATACACTCTTGCCCTGGCAGCAGCTTCATCCGTGTGTGGTTCGTCCTCCCCCCCCCTCTCCCCCTCCTCCTCCCCCCCCTCTCCCCCCCCCTTCAATCCGCTGTCCTCAGGACCTCGGCGGTGTTGCAGCGGGCCATGGCCGCCGTTCCCCTGGCAGCTGATTGGGGGGGAGAACCCCTGGATGTCGTACATGAGGACGAGCATTTCTTGGCGGTTAACAAACCGCCGGGGATGCACACGGCACCCATACACCGCTTCGCAGGTACGTGTACGACATCCACATAGAGACAGGATGCTGTGCGAGTTGCCGTACGGGGCCCTCCTAATAGCGCATATCTTGTACATCTCCGAATGCGTCCACTACAGATATATTATTTTGTAGACCCTCCCGATTAGGAAAGAAAGCTCTCCTGGACGACCGTTTGAACGAGCCGCGTCCGTGCCTGTTTTGGCTACAGCTACCTGTAGGCGTGTAGCTATGGTACGTAACAATCGCGAGGAAGGCCTGTGTGATCCTTTCCCTTCCCAGGGTCCTGATCTCTATGAAACGTCGTATCCATCCCGTTCGTACTGTACGGCATGATAGGTGGCTCCGTTGTGAATAAGGTCATCGCCTACCTCAACCGGCACCGGGCTGGCAAGTATAGAGCCGCCGGCGGCGGCGGCGGCGGCGGCGGCGGCAGCAGCGGCAGCAGCGGGGATGGCATCCCGGTGAGTGTTCGAATTAACCGCGAGACACAAGCTCGCGCGGCTGCAGCTAGGCAGAGCACTAAGTTGTTGGAAATATTTATTGAAATCAGTGCAACAACAAACGGGATTCTGATAGATTTTTCTCTCATATTTTTTCCATATTGCGCTCTTTAGAGCGCTCCAAACATTTGCTCTATCCTAACTAGGTACGGAAAAAAAGGTGAAGCAGTTGCATGTACGGCATGTCGTAGGATTAATGCCATGTACGTGAGGCTCTCGGTGTTGTTGCGTCACGCAAGCGATGTTTCTTGCTCACGGAAGGTGTTTGGTGTTTGAAAATAACAGGTCACGCTCATAAACCCGTCGTACGGCGGTGCCGTACTTCCTGAGCTGATGCCGCTTCCGGAGCCGTTCTCTTTCACGTCAGCCGCCGCCGCCGCAACGTCTTCGGAGGAGCCTTGGGTTGGCGATGACGGCAGCGAGACCACGGCGGCGGCACCAGCATCCGGTCGTACAGTGCCGTACCAACTGGAGCCGTACGTACTGCACCGTCTGGACATGAATACGTCGGGTCTGTTGCTGTTCGCGAAGCGGCCCGAAGTCGTTGCTGGGATGCACCGGCAGTTCAGGTAATGACTAGTAACCGTGTTTTACTTGAGCCTGTGCTTTTTGAGGCGCAGTAATGATCACATCACCCGTCATTTTAAGGCGGCTTTTGGGCAGTTTTAAGCGTGTCTCGCCTGCTTTTGCCTGCGTAATTAAAGCTCCTTTGGGGATATATTGTTTTCCCGCAGCGATGCTTCTCCGCTTGGCTGTTTCTAATGCAAGGCCACCTATCTACCTGTTTATTTATCTTTATGTCCTTGATAGCGACGCAGTGTGGTCAACAAATTTTATCTTTTCTCTTTCCGTTCTCTGTTCCCGGAAAGATGCGCATCACATCATCCTTGTAACACTCGTGGCCTACTTAAGCTCCCTCGTTCATCTGCATATGACCACCATCACCACCGACGACAGGGAGCGCACTCTACGCAAGCTGTACTTGGCGGCGGCGGTGGGCTGCCCGAGTGGGACCAACCCGCCCTCATCCTTAACCTCCAATGCTGCCGCCACTACTGCCGCTGCAGCGGGCAGCTGCTGGGACCCGGCCGACTGCATCCAGAACGTTCCGCAATGCGGCGGCAGCGGTGGCGGCAACCTCGGCGGCGGCGGCGGCGGCGGCGGCGGCAGTACACGAGGCGGCGCCTCAGTCGACAGTGATCGCTGGCCCCCCCAAGGCCTCGTCAACCACTTCCCGCACTCCTTTTTCGTGGATGCCCCCATTGACCGCCATCCAGTGCATGCGGTGGCTCGCAGGGTTGCAGCCACGGGTGGGTACGGTACGGTGGGGGTGATAAAGGGGTAAGAAGGAGGTGGGTGGGCGTGGCTGTAGGCTGGCCCTTGGCCCCGTCCCTTCCCTTCGAGAGCTCTCCTCCTCCTCTCCATTCACTCCCGAGAACTCATGCAAGAATCTTGGGAAGTACGGGGTAATCGCTCGCGATTCGATCGCGTGAAGACGTCGTGAAAAGGGAAAAAAAGTACTTGCTCGTAAAAACCCCTCTCCCCCCCCGGCCCTTTTTCCCCCCCCCCCGCCCATCTGAGTGGCAGCAGGTAAGGAGGCATCTACCAGCTTTGCCGTACTGGCCACAAACCCACACGCCGCGCTGGGACCAGCCGCGGGCGGTTCACCCGGCCTGCTCTTCCATGAACGACCTCACGCTGCAGCTGTCATATCACCCTCCTCGCCCTCACCCGCCCTGTCTTCATTATCATTACCTCTCCAGCAGCAGCAGGAGCAGCAGCACAAGCAAGATGGCAGTTACGGCACTAGCATCGGGGCTGTAGCAGCTGCTACTGCCGGTTCCATACCCAGTGGCGCGAGTTTGATGCTGTGCGCGCCTCATACGGGTCGTACACATCAAATTCGTGTGCATCTGCATCACGTGGGACATCCCATCTTGGGCGATGACATCTACGGTGTCACGGTACGGAGTCGGTTGAGGTAGTTGGTTTCGGTTGGGCCGCGTATATCGAACTATGATTGTGATTATGGAACGTACGGGTTGTCCATCCCACTACTTCCAACTACCCAACCAACTACCCAATCAGTATTCAACTAACCAAGATACGAGTCTCCTTTCGTGAACTGGCCTCCATATGTCATCCGGCAGCCGGCTTCCTATCATCTTGCGCATTTTCCATTTCCTCATTTGAAGGAAAAGCCCCAAAACGTTAAAAGAGTTCCTCCTCCTTGACCTTGTTGATCCGCACTTTGCCGGAACTTGCTCTGTCTCTTTTAAAGTTGGTAGCAAAATTAATGAGCTTCCCCATGGAGTGTCCATAAAACCCTATCTTTCTTTTTCTATGTTTCTTTTTTCTTTTTATTCCAAAGCTGCCCCGATCTTCACTGAACATGTTTGGGTTTTCCCACAACTTTTACTGTTGCTTTTGGGCCCTGCAGGGTCCCTGGATGGGTCGGCAAGCCCTCCACGCCGCCGAGCTGCGCTTCACACATCCGCTCACTGGACAAGTTATGCGGCTGAGTGCGCCGCTGCATGATGATATGGCGGCGGCGCTGGCGGCGCTGGGACTGCCGCAGCCTGACGTCGCAACGCTGGCGGAGGCCGCAGCTGAAGCGGAGGAGTGGTGCCGTACTGCCTCTCACGGTAGAGGAGGAGGAGGAGGAGGAGGGGCCGAGGTGAAGCGGTGTCGGGGGGATCGGTAACACTTGGAACTGTGTGTGTGTGTGGTGGGAAAGACGGGGTTGTCTGGGGGAAGGCGAAAGGGGGAATCGGACTTGTTTCGTACCTTTCAAAGCGGTGATTGACGTGCGACGTGTGTACTCGTCTGTGCCTGTACGCCTGTTGTTGGACTCCGCATCTTGGAGCCGCTGGTGCGAGCACTTTTCTCGTCGGAGAACAAGCTGTAGTTGCTATATCGTTTCCGCGAGTTAGAAGCGCGTTTATGTCAGCAGCAGCGCAGCAGACGTGACATCTTGATCCAATACCCAGGAAGTGGTTGAATGCGGAGGGGGAGGGGGAGGGGGGAGGAACGCTCTGATACGGTTGGCGGAACAGCAGCGCGCACGGTTTGCCTTGCCTTACCATTTTCATAAGGGCAAGCATTTCTCCAGTCGTGGTTTTTCTCTTAGGTAATCGGAACGTCGGCTTCTTTTTCGGGACCTTTTCCATATGCTGGTTTGTCGCTTGTGTGTCTTGTCGCTTTCATAAACGTCTCTGTATCTATGTTAACGATTAATTTACGTAGGCTTGTCTCGTGTTTGACGCCTAATTGGGTTCTTTCTGGCCTAACGTTTACCGCTGTATACTTGCAGTTTATAAACTGCAATTGCCAATTCTGCTCAGCTTTTTGCCAGCGCCAGAGGGTGGATCGGCTGATTTGCAAACGTGACAGTGTGACTGCAATTCCCTTCTTTTTGCACATCTTCAGGGCGATTTGACGCAATGCGAGTGCGTACATTTACAAGCGTGACAAAAAAGCTTGACCGTCGGCATGTTTCAAATTGGATGCACTTGACTGCTGCTAAGGAAATG